GTGTACTGACCAGGAGAGGGACAGGCAGGTGGGAGTGTACTGACCAGGGGACAGGCAGGTGACAGTGTGCTGACCGGGGACGGGCAGGCTTGGGCAGTCCATGTCTTCTGAGGTCAGCAGATAGTCATCAGCTGGTCCCTAGCAGTGTCTCTCCTCAGATTAGGGAAGGAGTCTGCTGAGCCCTACAGGGTATAAGGCCCTCATGTAACTTGCAGTCACTTGCACTGTAAGCAGTCACACTGCTGTCCCAGAGTACCTTCCCTTTGGAGCCCAACATGCCTGCCAAAAGAACAAAACAAGATCTGGGTCACTCGTCAGTCTTTAATACCCCGTCTTGAAAGGTTTTATTCATACCAGTTTAAAGTTTATCCACAGATTGAACACAATACCCACTGCTTCTACAAGAAGCTCCCCTGACACAGTTCAAGTTGGGGTTTTGAAATAAGCATAAGAACATAAGAAATGTTATGTAAGAGCAGTTATAAACAAGATTGTTTAATGCATTGTTGAACAATATTGGTTCCACACTCCCACATCTCTTTATGTAAATGTGTGTTGCCTGGTTACATTTAAAATAACTTTTGTTAAATTTCTACATGTGACCACTGGTTAGTGTTTCACTATTGATTCTGAAGACATCCACTGAGTTGAATGTATCTGAGAATTGGAACAAGGAGAGACTGACAGTGAAATATGAGCCAGAGGAACAATTTGAAACTATATGGAATTGCATTTAAAATCAGGAACAGGAGGCGATTCTCTACCCAAAGAGTTGTGGGAGGGTGGAGCAAGCTGCAAAGCCATGTTGTTGAGGCCGATATCTTGGTTTCCTTCAAGGATATCGGCCTCAACAGCACTGCTGGACTTCCTGAGCCACTTCAGAAGCTTCTGCTTCTGCCCAGGAAGAGCCCCGAGAAAAAGTGAGGTTCACCCTCCCACACCCCACACCCCACACCCAGATCCAGCCCAGATCTCGGCCTCAAACAGTTTTGATGATTATGACAGGCCTGTACAGTTCATTCTTTCACATGCTGAGCCAAATAGGAGGTTTCTTTCCTGATCTGTGCATTTCTGGCAGCATGACAGAGGGAAATATATATCAAAGATCATGTAACTCTTTGGCTTTCAAGACTGCATAAGAGTCACACTTAATGTTAAGCCCTAAAGCACTTAATAACCAGGCCTGATGCTGTTGTCCACTTGGCAGATAATAAAGAAAATGCATTTCCTCTGTGTTTTCCAGATTGGTGAGTTTATATCGTAATCTTGAATTCCCTTGTGACCACCCGGCTTGCCCCTGCTCCTCGATCCTACCCCACAGGGGAGCTCCTGGACATGGCTCTCTGGTGTGACCAATGACAAACGACATGGCTAAGCAGAGTGTGAAGCCTGCCGCCCAGTACATTACTGTCACCTCAACGACCTGCAGTCCTGCAGTCTCTCTGCTGCTGGGGAGGCTGGTTATCATTGAGGGGAAAATTGCAATTTCCCTGGGATTATTAAGGGGCTTCAGACATCTGAGCCATTTTGAACAGTCATTCCTTATGAAAGCAGGATGTCATGCTGTCTCTAAATAGGGCATTCAGCCAGTCACTCTGCAACATCGGTGCGTGTCTCCCCCAAAGACAAGAATCCGTATAATAAAACTAAATGCTATTAAAAATAATAAATTAAGGTGTCTGGCCTTTGGGGTTTATGGGGGAGATTTACAGTACCCACTGCAAAGGCTCATTAACATCTTTTACAGCTGCACACAGTGTGTTGGTGTGAAGAGGATCCAAGAACAGTTACAGGCGACAGGAGTCTTTCAGCCCATCTGGTCTGCTTGAAAGGTAGTGATCCAGGGATCTCATCCAGCTGATTCTTGAAACAAGCCAGGGCATCGTCTTCAATACCATGGCTGGGCAGCCTGTTCCAGACCCCCACAGGTCTTTGTGTAAAGGGGTCCACGTACTGTATTTACTTGTGCTGCATGTTTGTCTTTTACAGTTTGTTCAGAAGTAGTTCTCCGGGTCAGTGTCAGTGCCTTTGAGGATTTTGAATACCCCTCACAGTATTCATATAACCTTTCAAGACTAATGACATTAGCTTATTACATTAGTCCCCCCTGCAGTAAATACCGTCACCTCTCTTCAGGGACCCAGAGGACATCAGAGCTTTGCAAAGAGAATGAACATTTCAGTCTCCCAAACTCTTCACGGTTTGCTATTTTTTTTAATACTTTCAGTGGACAGAGTATACTTTACATTCATGATCTCTTAAGGCCAGACATTCTTGGTAAAACTGCTTGTTGTAGCTCAGCTTCCGCTCTGTGCACAGGGCTGAGAGTCTTTGTGACTGGTGCGGTTTTTTACTGTGTTGGCACCTCGGAGAACGTCAGTAAAGTGACAGGTTGTCATGCAGAAAGGAAAGTGTGCTAAAACTGATTTTCATAACACTCCTTAACACTCCTTAACAATGCCCAGCCATGTAAGAGTGAGTACAATCAAGAGGGGCTTTGTGGAATAGCTGACAATATTCATCTATCATTCTATCCTCTGTTCCCTGTAGCTGCGCACTGTGAGATGTGAAGGTTTTCTTGCAGTGTTTCCTAATGTGATAGGTGCTCTGGACTGCACAGACATTAAAGCCCTCACAGGGCCACACAAGCCTGCTTCTGTTCACAGAACATCGATTCCCAGTATCAAATGTACTGGTGAAAAAATCATTTCCGAGGCTAAAAAAACTCACCTGAAGAAGGCTCCACGGCCGAAACGTTGTGTTCTCTTTCTTCTTTCTTTCAGCATGGAATAAACCTATTACTTGTTCCTAAAAAAACTATGAACATTAACTACAGAAAAGACCCAGTAAAAAACTGTGACTAATTTCCATCAAAAGGCTATTCAAAGGGAAATTATTTTTAAATGTGTGCCCACAATGGGTGTTATGCAGGAGTTACATAAAACAGAACATTATCGGATGATCTGTAATGCATTGTGTTACTTCAGCAACATGACTCTTGGCCATTCAGAAGACTCATACTGTGCAAGCTATTGAACAAGAGCAGGCATTGACCTGAAGTAGGAAGTCTTCTGTTAATCTGTGTTACTGGTCAGCTTGATGGGCTGCTTACTGGGGATGCGGGTTATTCCTGCACCCCCTTTTTATCGACCTCCTACCCTGACCCAGATCCTGGAGACCAGGGCTGCCTTAGTCAGGCTCTTGTAAAGACACGAGCCCACATCGACAGGGCATGTGGGATCCTGAAGTCCAGATTTCATTGTCTTGGTGGTCCGAGGGGACCCCCAGACAGGGCATGACCTGTATGACCTGAGCTGTGTATGTAACACTGCCCCCCGCAGGCAGGACGGAGCTGCCACCCCAGCGGTACCTGCAGCGGCCTGCAGGGCGGCAGAGCTGAGAGAGGCAGCGAGGCGGAACACCATCCTAGCTCCTGCACGTGGTGACCAGGTTTCTCAGAATATATCATTTTTCTTCCAATGATATGTAGGTCATATCTTACCCGAAACCTGGGGGAAAAACCTCACCAGTAGTAGCTGATTCCCATCCCAATGTGTTGGAACAGAAGAAAATGTCCCGACGAGGGAATACACACTGTAGTTCATCGTGTCGCTGAGGTGATCCTCCCCCTCCAGCCTGCTTGTGCTTCCGATTCTTGTTGTTGGCTACATTTAGCGAACATTTTCATTCAAAGGGCTGCACTGCACTGTGTATGCTACAGAGATTCCTAAGAAGAAGCACAAGCCACTTGAGTGAGAGTCTTGTATTGTTTCTTGACCTCCCATTACAGTGCAGCTGTGAGCATAAATCATTACAATAACTGCTGCATGAAAACAATCTCACACAGTGGCTGGAATAGTAGCTTCACACCACTGCCATAATAATGTGAGTTAATTCATGACGATACATGCGTGCTCATTTTGATAGTTTTTTAACATCTTGAGTTATTTCTTTGCATTACATGATGAACTTTGCCAGCCCTCCTGTCTTGTGACGTGCGGCTTGAACGCACAGGGAGTCAGATTGGTTAAGACTTGCTCTAACCAGGTCACGCAAGCCAGAGTCTGCTGTCATGAAACCTCATGAAACCAGAGCCAGCATTATGCCAGTTATCACATGAATCTGGTCCACATTTACAAGGGCAATACTGCTAGAGGCAAACCTCTCAGCAGCACCAAAAACACAAAGGCCAGACCGGAATTCGCAAAGATGTGCAAAGTCTAACCAGAACAGCTCAGGAAATAAGGTTTTATGGGGGGATGAGGCGAAGATGAAGCTTTCTCACGGGAGGGAGGGGGCTGCATGTGACCCTCAGCTGCCCCTCATCAGTGCAGCATGTGCAGGGCCACGAGGGTGGCAGAGCCCTTGACCTCCTGCTGCTGCACCAGACTGCAGGGCTGTGCAGTTCAACACTATCTTTACACTGGTTCAACTCCCCTTGACACTGCTGTCTGAGCACTGATCTGGAATCGGGGGCAATTCAACACAAAAATACGTTAGTTCATTCTCAAACACTTAATGTGCCATTGCATATACTCTGTTTATACTCGTTGCTTCTGTTGTTCGTTTAAAGAACTTTAAGAAGTTGGTCGAGACAGTCCCATCTCAATTCATCACAATCACACTGCGCTGCTGTCTGACCACTGTCCACACAATCACACTGCACTGCTGACCACTGTCCACACAGTCACACTGCACTGCTG